GATTATCATATCTGCTCAAGAAGTGATAAAAATGTTTGGGAAAAGCAAAAAATCACGGTCTCATCAAGCAGTTGGATAGGAACCGAATTAATTCAAGCATCGAAAAGGTTGTTGCAGGCAATAATTCAATTTTTGAAGGTTTACTAGTTTTCGGCTGAATGCTGAATTCTGCTTTCTACAGAACCCAATCAACGGCTTATCATACCTAGCAGTATAGGTCTAATATCGAACAGCCACTTCAACTTGAGCTCTTCCTGTTCTATGATGGCTCTCTGATTTTTTCTAGCATCATGAACGGATTCCCCAGCACGAATAACCCAGGTTTCCGTTTTTTTGCCGCAGCTGCATTTTTCTGAACTTTTTCAGAACAGTTTATCGGTTTTTGCACCGTCTCATAATTATAAGGTCACCCTGAGAAAGTAAATGGTTTATTAACGTCGGTGGCATATGCACAACACTTAATATTCTATAGCTCCTCCTTGTTTAAGGGCAACATCAATGAGTCTGCGTGGCATACTAGAAACTAGGTTTCGAAGATGTTCCTCATCGATTGCTCTCCATGCTTCGATAACTGCCCGTTTCAGCTCTTCTGTGCCCTGGAACTGAAGGTTATTCGCATAAAGCTGTCTGACTATTATGCCCCAGATATGTTCCATCGGATTGAGATCGGGACTGCAGGCTGGCCATGGTAGGACGCTTATTTATTGGCATTGTAGCCACTCATCCGCTGCACGGCTCACATGAATGAAGGAGTTGTCTCGTTGAAAGACATAGTTGAGGTGACGGCGATGTCACAGAAAGGGTACTGGATGATGCTCCTACACGTTCTAGTAATCCTTGAAATCCATACTTCAGCTCACAACAGGTAGATCCAACACGACATCATTGCAGAATGCACCCCACACCATAGACTTCCTCCATCGAAATTGCGACTGGTAGACTGAAGTAGACTGGTTCCTTCCTCAAGTCGCGCCAGTATCGCTTGTTTCCGTCAGGACCGCCCAGGTTGAATTTCTTTTCATCCGAAAAGACGACCCGAATAGGAATTATTCAGCTCTATGATGAGATTCTGATGCAGATCTACCTTTGCTCAATCTCTCCCTAGGTTCAATTTTCGTTGCAAATTCGACTCAGGCGTCTCTGTGGCGATCGGCGATCGTGGCGCCTTCTCCATTGCTTGCCTGGTGATGTTCTCGCGTCTTCTCACTGCTCTCCAGGACTGTAGTTTTCGACACAGAGAGGTTTAATTCCGATCGGATCTGGTTCAAGGAGGGCGTACTGTTGGGAACAGGCCTCAGAATCTTCCGC